GCGTTCCCATTCCTCAGTCGCCTCTCCATCGGAATGGAGTCCCCTCTGCTGCACCTCGTGTCTCTTCTATCCTTCATACTTCAAGGTTGCACTCCAGAGATCAATGCTTGGCCGGCACTCAGCAGAGGGTCAGGGGGAGGGGGGGGGGAGAGGATTTGGGTGTTTTGGGGTTTGGGGGTTTGGTGGTGGGTTGGGTATGGAGACGGGTGAGGCAAAAGGATAGGATGGGGAGGGTGCAAAGGAGGAAACAGAGTTCGATGTTGATCACGGGATCAGAACAAGGTTGGTAGATTGGAAAGGGATGGTGAAATGTTGCCACGGTAGACATTCCCATTGTCTCTCGGTCTCCACCTATGGCTTCCACTGCAGCTGATTTAGTTGGTCCAATTCACAGAGCGTTTTGTCCCTGTCTGTCCACAGAGCGGAGAGGCCATGTCAGCTCTTTTGTTCGCATCAGGCTCTGTTGACTGCATCCGAGTCTGCCTGATCTCCTTCCAGGCTGCGTGTGCTTTCGTTATGATGGCTTCCACTATAATCGAAGATCTTGCTTGCATGCAATCGTATTTGTTCTGTTTGCGTTCATATGCACATTGCGTCCTCCATGCTGTCATCAAGGCTGGGAATCGTGTCAGAGTAAAAAGGCTAAGCTCAAAAGGAGACCGCTGCGCTGCCTGAGGGGGGACCTCCCCCAGAAGGCTGACCTTGACGTCCCATGGTAGGTGGGAGTCCATGAGGTAGTGCCATGTCGCATCCCACCAGGCCCACAATTGGACCACCATTGGGCAATCCAGTAAGCAATGTTCCAACGTGGATCGTTTCTTGGGGGAGGCTCTCCCACAGTATGTGCAAAGTGGTGAGAGCAGTCCTTGGGTCCCTACATTTGTTCTGGTTGTGCGCCAGTCCGGAGTGGGCAGGCATCTGTGCAGTATCTGCCACTGGAGAGCTCTGAGTCTTGCCGGTTTGATGCGAGTGTAGGCTGGCTAGTTGATGGCGTGGAGGTATCTGGCTTCTAGGGGAGAGTCCCGAATCCATCGTGCCACCACAGGTGGCGTTACCTGCACCGGCTTGCGCACTTGTCTATACCCCTCCTTCACAGTGTATTGCCACAGTTGGAGCCCACATGATCCGTCTTTGTTCCATTCCCACTCATCAGGGTCGAAGGGCAGGTGGGCAATAGGGATGGTAGGCTCGTACACGTAGAGCCCTTGATGGTCGTCCTCGAGGACCCTGATCCTTAGGAGGGCTGTCTGCGGTCTGTGGTGGTCCATATCCTCTTCTCGCAGGAGTTTGGACCAGCGGTCGCCTGGTATTTGAGGTCTGTAGGCCTGTAAACTTACCATTTGAGCCTGCGTGTCCACCACGTGGTACTAAATAACCAGTCCCCTTTGATGATCGTCAGGCCTTTCCTCAACTGCATGACCCATGCCAGCGGGATTGCGTCCTGGATTTCCTGCAGACCAGTTTCCAAATTTCTAATATGTGCCAGTTGGCTTCGCAGTTGCTGTGCGGATTTCCAGTTTTTCGATTGTATATCCGACAGATCCCCGACGGTGTACAGACCTTTCCGGGCCCATGACAGCCACCTCGAATGAGTATGGAGGGAGAAGGGTTGGCCTGTCTGATCCTGGATATGTGGGTTGCCAAACATGGGTTGTCTGTGAACCTCCTCCCATCGCATTTTGACCGGTTTCTTGGCCGGGGCCCACTCTCTCCACAGTTTGACCAGGGGCACTTAGAGCGGACCTGCTCGAAGATCCCATTTGGCTCGGGCTGAGGGCGAGTCATTCCTGTGGAACCTGGAGGGAGAGGGGGGGGTCCATTAGCTGTTTGTTAGCCACTGCGGGGGGGGGATTGGCCTGTCCCCAGTCACTTGCGGTGCGAGCACAGTCAGCTAACTGTGTGTGTATGGGGCCCAGGCGATGTTGTTGCCAAGTAATAGACGCAATACGAATTTCGAAGATTAATCCGTTAATCTCACTTCCGGGGTCGACTATTCCAAGCCCTCCCCTGGTTCGCGGTTGTGTTATGACATCCCAGGCCACTCTTTTGATACAWGACATCTGCTGGTGGTTGCTTTTCCATAGGTATGCCRCAGCCGCCGCCTATTCCAAGCCCTCCCCTGGTTCGCGGTTGTGTTATGACATCCCAGGCCACTCTTTTGATACAWGACATCTGCTGGTGGTTGCTTTTCCATAGGTATGCCACAGCCGCCGCCTGTCTCAGTCTAGCGATGTGCTTGTGTTTCAGTTGCCAAAAGGCGACTTTATACCAAATGGCTGCGGAAATAGCATTGTTGATTGCGAGGGCTCTGCTCACTAGCGACGTTTGTATGTCTTTCCATGCTGCCATACGTTGTATGGGCAGGTTCACCAGCAAGTCCCCATGGTCCCGGGGGGGGGGGGGGGGGGGGAGAGAGAGAGAGAGAGAGAGAGAGGGAGAGAGAGAGAGAGAGCGTGGGGGGGGGGGGGGGGGGGGGGGGGGGCAGGGAAGTTAATTGCATGCCAAGGACTCTTATCGGCGCTTCTTTCAGTTTCCAATTAACTTGGGCGGTTGGTGGCAGTGGGTCATCACCGGTTGCGAGCCACCATCCGTCTATTTTTGTTCCTCAGTTCACTTTCATGTCTGCCGCTATTTCGAAAAGTTGGATCGTATGCGCTAGTGCCTGCAGACTGGCAGGGGTGGCTCTAAAAGGCACCGTGAGGTCATCAGCAAACAGTGAGGTGACTTGGATGAGGTGGGCTGGAATCTCTAGTACGTCGATCCACTGAATATTTGGGCTGAGGCGGATCATTGCAGCAAGAGCTTCGGAATCCATAACTACCATCTTCCCCCGAACACAACGCACCTTCATTTTGACTGTATCAGGACAGAAACATGCCTCGCATATGTTCATTTTCAGGGTGCGTTACGTTCGGGGGAAGACAGTAGGACAAACAGCGTTGGGGCGACGCTGTCTCCCTGCCTCACAGATCTCAACAGGCGGATGGGAGGGGCAAGGTGACCATTCATCATTATGTTCGTGGTGACTGTTCTGTGAAAGATGTTGACCCATTTTCTGAAGGGGGGCCCAAAGTTCATTTTGGTTAGACACATTTCCAAAAAGTCCCAGTCTACGTGCAAATGCTTTTTCAAAACCAATGAACAGAATAGCTGTGTCCAGCTGTCACTGTCTTGCATATCTGATGGTTTTATTTACCAGTAGGATGTTATCTTGTATGTTCCGGTACGGCATGAAGCCTGACTGTTCCGGATGGATAAAGTGCGACAAGTGGGGCAGCAGTCTACTAGCCCAGAGTTTAGCCACCCTTTTGTAGGGCACTGGGAGGAGGCAGTGCCTGCAATGAGGTGGCCGTGGCTGCAACCCGCCCAACCCACCTGCACCCAACAGGCCCTGTCCAGGGGCAGTTCCAAAGCATGCAGACTGAGCTGGGGCTTAGCCAGGTGGTGCCATGGCCTGGCTGGGGGTCACAACTGGCTGCATAATTAGTCGGGGTCACCCGTACAGGTCTCATGCCAATACGTATTAGTTTAGGGTTGCCGTCAATAGACCCATATTTTCCTCCCTACCATTGGCCCTGTGTGGCCACCAACCCAATAGGTCTTGTCTTTGTTTCACTATTTGCTTTACCTTTTATTAACACTTCATATGTACGAAGTTCAACTTTTAGACCCATTCATCAAAAACTTTTTTGGTTACTTGTGGCAGATTGTTTACTTTTAGGCTGGATTGGATGTCAACCTGTGGAAGCACCCTACCACGCTGTCATTTGCTTTCTGAAATTTTGTAAAAGGGGATGCTGGGCCCATTTCCCAGCAGGTGCAGCTCCCCACTAATAGATGGAGCCTCCCTGAGAGCAGCTTGAGATGTCTGCTCCTACCAGAATGGAGAGTGGGGTGAGGGAAGTAAGGTTAAGGAATAGAGACTAGGAAAAGGCGCTGACCCAGACTTTAGATAAAGCCAGGGTTGGGGAAAGGAAGTGTATGAGGGGCGCTGGTCCCGTTTTCCAATGTGTGGTACTCCCCCAAAAACCATTCCTGTTTTTCAAAAGAGTAGTGGACAGCGAGGTGGAATAGCCAGGAAGGCGGGTTGGGGTGCAAAAAGGAACAGGCTGGGGAACGAACACTCCTGCTGGTGCCCCCCAGTGGTACTTTCTTTCCTATCTCCAAACCAAAGATGTGGGACCTGGCTTTCAGTTGTGGAGTTGGCAGGGGGGTAGGGTCCTTTTTCCAACAACCTGCCCAGTAAATCCTCTGAATTCAGAGTAATCAATGCTGGCAGGATTTTCTCAGCTGCTTCTTTTTTCCCTGACTATTTTCCAAAGGATTTTGTACAAGGGACGCTGGACCCGTTTTCCAGCAGGTGACGCTCCCACCAATAGATGGAGCATTTTCCAAAAAAAAAAAAAAGCTGCCTCTGGAGATTGTTCTTAAAAAAAAAAAAAGAGAGAGAGAGAGAAATACACCAGGCTGTGAACAGAAAGCATGTAAACAAAACTGTATAAATGTATGACAGAATGAAGGTTGTGTACATTCATCTTTTTGAAGACATGCTGAAGATCGGAAAACTTTGGACGTCCCCGGCGAGGGGGGCCGGCAACATGCTGTACATGGAGTTTTCAAAGTCTGTCACTTCGACTCCCCATTCGGGACTTTAAACTTGGGATGCACCTAAGAGCCTGGCGAGACAGGGAGGGGGTGTTCCATGCTGGTGCACGCACACGTCCTGGGTTAGAGAGAGAGAGAGAGAGAGAGAGAGAGAGAGAGAGAGAGAGAGAGAGAGAGAGAGAGAGAGAGAGAGAGAGAGAGAGAGAGAGAGAGAGAGAGGGAGGGGGGGGGGGGGAGGGGGAAGTGGGGGGAGGGGGGGTGGAGGGGGTTGGTGTTGGGGAGGGGAGGAGGGTTAGGTGGAGAGTGGGGGAGGGGGGTGGGGGTTGGTGGGGGGGGTAAGGGGGGGCGAGCCACATTTATGTTTTAAAATACTAAAACAAAAATAACAAAGGTGGCTAATTGTGGCCCAAGGTGATCCCGGGCGCCGGGAGTGATGTAAAAGTGGGCTGGCCGCGGGTGCAATTGGGCATTTTTTGGGGTTCCCGACCGGGCTAGGTCTGGTTCAGAAGATCTGCAAAATCCATGGTCCAGTTTGGACAGCTGACCAGCTTCCCACCAAAGATAGCAAGAGAGATTGTTTACTGCATCGTTTCCTAATCATAATAACGGATGTATTTTGCCTCCTTCTGCGGGAAGATGCACTCGTATTGTTCACGCTTGCTTCGTGAGTGGTGTGGTGAGACCCTGAAGCCCCGTTTCTATAAGCCACAGAAAAGGACACAATGGTATCATCATAGAGAACTGCCCGACGAACTATACGCAGACACGGAGAAAAGGACAACAAACGAGGTGTTGTGACAGACTGCTCAGTAAGAGTTTCACTGACGCGTCACTCAACCCGAAAATCAGTGAAGATCTGTGAAAATCAGTGAGAACCAGTAAGAGACATTAAATCACCCTACTTCAACTTCTTCCCCCTAAAAGGATACCTTCCCCCACCTTCCCCCCCAAAAAAAAGGGCAAAGCTTTTCTGAGTTTCTCACTGTTTTCGGTTCATTCCATTGTGTTCTCTTCTAGCGGCAAAGAGAATACAGTTTAAGACACACAAAGCGTGCATTACCAAATCCCCTCTACCTTGTCCTCACTAGAGTCAATCTTTCAAGACTTTCGAAACGAAGCTCTGTAGCCGCTCTTTTCCGATCCCTTCCATAGCATTTTCACCCAATTCTAAGAAATATGTGTCGCCATCCGCCGTCACCTCCTTGTTCTGTACAATGTACCTCTGCTTGGTCAGCATCTGCATCAAATTCTGAACATTGGTGAAAGCAGGGTGACAGTCATCATCGGCCCTGACACCGAGTTTCGTCAGTTGCCTCCAGAGAGACTCTTCAGAAATCTTGTCACCTGCCATGTCGATCACGCTCATAACCACCATAGCCAGACCTTGAAAAGCAAGAGAATGGTCTGTCTCTACGAAATCCTGACGCAAATCGGCAGGCAGCATGCTGCGTAGAACATAAAGCTTTAGCCCAGCCTGCGACTGCGAAGTAGATGCCTGATCTTCTCCCCACCTCCTCCTTGCGCTCCCTGTGATTTCCCGCAGCTCCATGCCAAAACAGGCCGGGAATTTCGCCTGCGCCAGCGCGATTATGTAGCCCGGAAGCTGCCGCCTGTCTTTGTACTGCTTGTTCACTATCTGCTTCAGCTCCTCCCTCTTCACGGGAACAGAAGGCTGCTGAAAGTTTTTGAAAATCATATACCTCATCACCTCCGACACAAGATTATCCGTCTCCTCTGGAGTGATGGAGTGTGCAACAGTTAGCTCCGCAACTTGAGATGCCGCCGATTCGTACTTCTGCATCAGGTCCCTTATCTCCTCACGCTGTGTTGCCTGCGCCCATCGCTCCTCCGGACGCAAGTTTTGCCATCGAAGGAATTCAAACCCTGACCCTGGGTCTTCTTCCTCCATCTCCTCGTAGGTGTTGCATCCATCAATCAGTTCCCTCTGGGTCTGAATCCTTTGTGACGACGGACCAGTTCTCCTGGTCCCAGGGGAGCGCAAATGCACACGAGTCGCCATCAATAGCTGTCGTAAATTCAAATCTGCAGACGAAAAGATCACCGTGAGTTGCACACAACCCCAGCGGTACAGGAAGAAAGGGAGAGGGAGACGGAAGCCCAAGGGACGACCGTGTTTCCGTGAGAGAGAGAGAGAGAGAGAGAGAGAGAGAGA